TTTGAGAAGTTAACTTAAAAAAAGTGAGGTTATGTTTACCTTGATTTAAGAAAATCGATTTTATAACCGACTTTTTGTGTTCTAAGGATGTTAATTAAGACCCTTTTGGTAATGATACTTCGTAAAACCATAATTATTAATTACAAATTGATTAAACGGTGAGAAATTATTAATAATGTTCGGTTCAAAGTTGACTAATTAAACTTTGGTTATTAACCGATAGGTGGCGCTGAATTATTATTATTTTTTTTTTAACTAAAATTAATTTTGTTAATTAATTTTTTTAAATATTAATTAATTGATTTTAAAAAAAATCTTTTTTATTTATATTCTTTTAAATTAATATTCTTTTATGTTTATATTTTATTTCAATTTATTTATAGCTTTAGTAACTATCTCATAGGTGGCGTTACAAAAGAAATTAATCCGTCAAATGTCAAGTTTGAAAAGTTTTAAAAAATCTAATTTTTCTCGTTAAAATGACTTCGAGGTCGATTTTGCAACTTTTCGATCAATACCAAAAGGCTCGCATTGCTTTCGTACAAACGGTGGCAGATTTGGCGATTCGTCCAAAAATCATTTTTTACAATTTCAACAATAACAATTTGTTATCTTATTTTTGTTTGATTTTTAATTGTGGGATCTTATGGGTCCCATCGCATAAAGGCTGATTCTTCGACCTCCCACACAAACACCACGAATATTTCTTTTCTATCAAAATCATAAAGAAAAAGCATGTTTTACGTATTATCATTATAAAGTGATTTACCAGTTTCTAAACGCATTTTAAAAGGTTTTTTGTCATAAACTATCCCATTTTCTGGTTGTTTATCGGCTGAAATAACCCCGGTTAAAACGTTTTTGGGAATATTAGCTTCGTTTGAGAAGTTAACCTAAAAAAAATGAGGTTATGTTTACCTTGATTTAAGAAAATCGATTTTATACCGACTTTTTGTGTTCTAAGGATGTTAATTAAGACCCTTTTGGTAATGATACTTCGTAAAACCATAATTATTAATTACAAATTGTTTAAACGGTGAGAAATTATTAATAATGTTCGGTTCAAAGTTGATTAATTAAACTTTGATTATTAACCGATAGGTGGCGCTGAATTATTATTTTTTTTTTTAACTAAAATTAATTTT